TGTGACAACAAGCCCCTGTCTTTAAAAAAAAAAAAAAAAAGAAAACAAAATGTTGGTCCATAGTATAGCAGTTGTCTTGTGTATAAAACTCTGGATCCCACATGGCTGTTCATGGTTCATATCTTAACCCTGTCAGCTTGACTGGGTGCATATTTGCTATAGAGCACACATGCTAGCCAAAGAAAGAAAGTGAGAAAGCAACCCCCAGATGAGAGAGCTATGCTGCAGTCTCTTCTTCGTTATTCTCCTCTCAGGACTTTGGGCATACATGCACACATGCCTGGTGTATTTTACAAACTATTGGTCTAGGACTCAAACTGCACAGTTAGTCATGTGGGATCCAACCACCACACATTGGCTGGCCCTCTCTCTTCATTACACATGTGTGTTTGTATATTCTCTCTGACAAGATAAAGAATTTTTTTTTTACTAACATATACATATAAACAGTATCTTTCTTCCCTTTCTCTGAAATATATTTTCTTTTTCCCATCAGTTTTTTGGCTGTACTTTGTAATATCAAGAGTAATCTTTTTTTCTCCAACCAGTTTTTTTAACTAGGACAATATCAAGAGTACTCTCTCTTTATTTAATAAAGAAGTTTCTATCATAGGGTGCACATACTCACTTGAGACAGAGACAGAGAGAGGGAAAGTAAGAAATCACCTGCCAGGCGACATGGCCACACCATAATCCATTCTCTTCCTAGGATCATGGGAACACACACACACACACACACACACCTGGCATGACTTTCAAGTCTCCAAGTCTGGGACTTGAACTACATTTGGCCATGTGGGAGTCCAGCAGTGTAACCACTATGCTGTCTGCTGGCCCCAAGAGTAATCTTTTTACTAAGGAATGAAATGCAGTTCTAGTTTCAGTGATGGAATGTGTCAAGAAATCAGACACCATTGCCACTGGCCCTCTAGGTGCAGTAAAACCATGAAGCATCACCCTTATGCTGCCCCAGCATATAGTGGAATGAGCTGAGAATTATTGGGGTGCTTTACCTGCAGCTCACTGCTGCCATCTAGAACGTCATAAGGAGTCCCGTGTCATGCTGTGTCTCCTTTAGTCTCTCATTCTTCCCCAGCTGTACTTTGAGATGTGGCAGTAGACAACTTTTTTGAAACATCCCATTCTGATTCTTCTCCTAGCAAGCCTTCATCTTGCTAAAACTGCTTTCCAAATTCAACCTGATCGCCTGCTGTCCTTGTTCTTTTTATTTCTCCTTCCAGGCTTAACTGCAGCACTTGTTTGACAGGTTAGAATGTAACTAAGTTTCCACAGTGTCAAAAGAAATAGGAGTGTTATTTTGACATCAGATTCCTTTTTTCCACCACATTCCGGTTCTCATTGAGGGCATAGAATTTATCTGATTGAAGATACCTAGCTTGAGGAAGTTTTATTTTGCATGATCATTATATAACAGTTCATTATAACCTGGACCTTCTGTTAATAATACATATTAAAATAGTGCTATTCAGTATATAATTGTGTGCATATGGCAAAAGTCAAATGGAAGGCAATCTATTAAGAAAACAAATATTCTTTTTTTCTCTAAGAATTATTTATTTAATTTTATTTATCACTATTATTATTTTTAAATTTGCTACAGGGCACACATGCTGACCATAGAGAAACAGAGGGATAGAGAGAACATGAGAAAGCAAGCCACTAGGTCCTGGACTAGAACCATGGTCAGCCATATGGGAATCCAGTACCTTAAACACCATACCACCAGCTGGCCCCTATTTCTTTCTTTCTTTTTTTTTTTTTTTAAAGAATTATCTATTTCACTTTATTTATTATAATTATTATATTTTAATTTGCCTTGGGCATGTGCACTCACCAGAAAGAGAAAGAGAAAATGAGGGAAAGCAGGCCCCCAGGTCCGGATCTCAAACCAGTCAGCCATGTAGAAGTCCACCTTAACCACCTCGCCACCTGCTGGCCACAAAATAGATTCAGTTTTAAATTTCTTGGACACATTTAATTTTAGATGTATTTAGTGCTGCTTATTTTAGTGTTATATTTAGATGTTATGATGGTCTTAAACGCTAGGCAATAAAGTGGTTATTGTGTGGATAGGGATGTCATCATGCAGAGAAAGACTCCTCCAGTCATCACGAGTCCCCCCATCATCTTCCATGCCCCTGGCTATAGCCAAGTGGCTTTTAAAAAATTTTCTGCCTCAAAATCAAAGGTGGTTTTGAGAGTCCACAAAGAACTACACGTTATTTGTGAGTAGAAGAGGTCCCCTTAGACACCACCCTGTTTAAGCCGTCTCTAGGAAATGATAACTGATCCTAATTTTCAAGTCCTCTAGAGGATACATTTTAATTTTCCCTGACTATTTACTCAACATTTTGTACTTTCCTTTCTGATGGCCCTCAATCTCTTAGGCTGCGATATGAAAGAATATTCATTCTGGTTCTGAATTTAGTTGGAGGCTGGGATAGTTGATAACATGGTGATATCCTCCTCCCTACCTCACTCCATAAGCACACAAACATACACACAATTATTTTCAGGAGTTACAGCTCCTAACATCCTATCACAACGTAACGAATTGTGTTAGTGCAACTTCTGGGGACAAATAATGTAAACAAGAAAAAAAATGTGACTTGGTGGTTTTTTTTCTTCTGCTCCTCTAGGAACCAGATCTCTTTTAGGGTGGTACTGCCACGGATGGATTTCATTCTGTGACAGGGCGGCGTTGTGAGTTATCCCCAGAGCAGTTCTGGTCCTTTTGTCAGCACCAAGTTCATTGCCTTCTTCTCAAAGGAACCCCACTGTGCCCTCATATTCTCACAGCTGACTCCTTATTCATTTTGCTCACGGGAATGAGTAGCTGTCCATATGCAGGACTGAACTGAAGAGTCAGCTCGTGTTGACAGGTCTAAGGCCATCATTTGGGCCATTAGAGCAAACGTGGGCAAAAAGAAATGATATTTACTATGTGAATGAATCATTCCTAAGCATAAAATTAAAGGTTCAGCGATGTAGAGGACATGGGGAAAGACCTAAGATAATAATCTATTTCAAAAGATATGAGGCCAAATTAAAAGGCAGAGCGTTAAGGAGTTGATAAACATATGACACAGGGCTACTCTCTCTTATATACAACAAGTGTTACCAGTCAGTGTGAAAAAATCAGACATTTCAGTAGAGGGAGAAGTGAGCTAAGGCTATCAAAGAGAAAATATAAATAATAAATATTGTTAGCTTCAGTGTAATCATTGCTAAAGATGCTAACAAATATTTAGATATCATTTTTAATTTATTAAAAAATAATCTCTATTGTTGGGATGGGAAACTAGGCAAGATTTTTGCTTTTCTGGTGGGAGCATAATTAGATTTAGTCATTCTTGGGGTAAAATATTTCAACAAACCTTACGTGTACAGGGTGGGTAAGATAATTGCTTTTTGGTTGGAACTTTTCTCAAAAAAAAAAAAAATCAGAAATGAGTGTAAAAATAAATTTTGTAAATATGTAG